TTATAGTCCTACTTTTGTGCCCGAACAGTCCGAAACAAGGCCGAAGAAGAGTGAATTCTGATTTTTCTAAGTGTTGGTTATATTATTACATATTGGACATTGGTGAATAGAATAATAACCTTACAGATTTGTTACACAGCAGACGAGCAGCAGAGGCCCACTCTCGCATACACGGTAAATCACTAAGTTATAAGCTCTTACCGTACTAGCCCTTTATTTTACAGAAAAAAGTATAACCAATCTTAAACACAAGTTTAGATTTCCTTGTAACGATTAAATATGGTCAGTGACCGTTAACAGTATCCTCAAATTGTAGGCAAATTACGAGATAAATAAATATTTGAAAGGTCTACTTCTTTGTGACCTTATAACTTGACTAAAACAACTTCTGTTTTTCTTTCGCCTCATTAGCGAACGCTATTATACTGCATCACGAAAAATAAATCCATTTTTCTAGTAGTTACTTGAATCGACATTTCAATGCAACTGACTACGATAAAATCGTATCAAAATAAGTGAATCATCAAGAGAATAAAGACAAACTTTTTTAGAAAATCTAGACAATTTTTCTAGAAAACCTAGACAACTGATTGGTTAATATCTGTCACCAGTCAACACCAAATATCTAACCTGATGAACAGTGAGTCCAGGGTACTTCTGGGAAAGAACACCCAGAGAAGCAGCAACAGTCTTACAGGGCTCCGACCAGGTCGCTGTGAAGTGTAGCACTAACACCTGGTAACAGTTTTAAATAAAGTTTAATACTTTATTTAATACTTTAATTATTAAGTTTCATGGATTTAATATTTTCATGGATTTAATAGTTTCATGGATTTAATATGGGGTCACATCTTTTGACCATAAGGTGATAACAACACAACATAGGTCACATAAGTATAAAGTAAGTTACTAGAACTATTTATAAGTATCTTGAATGGTATGTAGTTGTTTAACTTCAGGAATCAGGAGTATGTATGACAGGTAGTATTGATGAAATTCACATTTAACAGGACCCACCTGTTCATTTGACTCTATGAGTTGTTGCACAGCGCCCTCACTGCTTATCATGGTGGTAATATCTGGTGTATAATGCTGGGGGTACAATATAGTTGTTACAGTGATGTGGGTAATGTGGGCAATGTACTGTGTGGGTAATGTACTATGTACTATATAGTACAACTTGTGATGTGGGTAATGTACTATGTAGTACAATATAGTTGTTACAGTGATGTGGGTAATGTACTATGTAGTATTGTGTGGGTAATGTACTATGTAGTACAACTTAAAAGGGAGATCTTTATAGGGGGGGGTGTCATGTCCGTCTATGTCCGCCTATGTCCTGTCCTTTTTGGATTCTATGAGACAACGGACGTGTTTTTTGGGACATTGGCGGACACGGACGGACATTGGCGGACTCGGACGGACATTGGCGGACACAGACGGACATTTGCGGACCCGGACGGACATTGGTGGACATTAGCTCAGGAGGAGGAGAACTCAGGAGGAGGACTGAGAAGGACTGAGACGGAGGAGGACTGAAGAGTACTGAAGAGTACTGAGGAGGATGGCTGAGGAGGATGGCTGAGGAGGATGGCTGAGGAGGATGACTGAGGAGGATGACTGAGGAGGATGACTGAGAGGGAGAAGGAGGATCAGGAAGACCCAGGAGGAGGAGGAGGAGGAGGAGGACCCAGAAGGAGGACCTAGGTGGAGGAGGAGGAGAACTGAGGAGGATGACTGAGGAGGAGGAGGACTCAGGAGGAGGACTGAGGAGGACTGAGGAGGATGGCTGAGGAGGATGGCTGAGGAGGATCACTGAGAGGGAGGAGGAGGAGGAAGCAGAGGAAGAGGACTGAGGAGGAGGAGGAGAAGGACTGAGGAGGAGAAGGAGGACCCAGGAGGAGGAGGACCCAGGAGGAGGAGGACCCAGGAAAAGGCCCCAGGAGGAGGAGGAGGACTGGGGAGGAGGAGGACGGACATTGGCGGACACAGACGGACATTGGCGGACACGGACGGACATTTTCGGACCCGGACGGACATTGGCGGACTCGGACGGACATTGGTGGACATTAGCTCAGGAGGAGGAGGACTAAGGAGGAGGACTGAGGAGGACTGAGACGGAGGAGGACTGAAGAGTACTGAAGAGTACTGAGGAGGATGGCTGAGGAGGATGGCTGAGGAGGATGGCTGAGGAGGATGACTGAGGAGGATGACTGAGGAGGATGACTAAGGAGGATGACTGAGAGGAAGAAGGAGGATCAGGAAAACCCAGGAGGAGGAGGAGGAGGAGGACCCAGAAGGAGGACTGAGGAGGACTGAGGAGGATGGTTGAGGAGGATGGCTGAGGAGGATGACTGAGAGGGAGGAGGAGGAGGAAGAGGACTGAGGAGGAGGAGGAGAAGGACTGAGGAGGAGAAGGAGGACCCAGGAGGAGGAGGACCCAGGAGGAGGAGGACCCAGGAGGAGGAGGACCCAGGAGGAGGACCCAGGAAAAGGCCCCAGGAGGAGGAGGAGGACTGGGGAGGAGGAGGACTGTTGAGGACTGATGAGGAAAACTAAGCACGAGGAGGAGGAGTAGGAGGAGGACTGAGGAGGGGAGAAGGAAGAGGACTGGGGAGGATCAGGAAGACCCAGAAGGAGGAGGAAGAGGAGGAGGACCCAGAAGGAGGAGGAGTACTGAGGAGGACTGAGGAAGAGGACTGACGATGACTGAGAAGGAGGAGGACTGAGGAGTACTGAGGAGGATGGCTGAGGAGGATGGCTGAGGAGGATGACTGAGAGGGAGGAGGAGGAGGACTCAGGAGGAGGACTCAGGAGGAAGAGGAGGAGGACGACTCAGGAGGAGGACTCAGGAGGAAGAGGAGCAGGAGGACTCAGGAGGAGGACTTAGGAGAAATGAGAAGGAGGACTGAGGAGAACTGAGGAGAAGGAGGAGGAGGAGGACTGAATAGGAGGAGGAGAAGGAGGGGGACTGGGAGAGGACTGAGGAGGAGGAGGACTGATGAGAAGGATGAGGAGGAGGACTGAGGACCGAGGAGGAAGAGGAGGAGGGATGAAGAGGAGGAGGAGGAGGACCCAGGAGGAGGAGGACTGAGGAAGAGGACTGAGGAGGACTGAGGAGGATGGCTGAGGAGGATGACTGAGAGGGAAGAGGAGGAGGAGGAGGAGGAGGACTCAGGAGGAGAAGGAGGAGGACTGAGGAGGACTGAGAAGGAGGAGGACTGAGGAGGAGGAGGAGGAGGAGGAGGAGGACTGAATAGGAGGAGGAGGAGGAGGGGGACTGGGGGAGGACTAAGGAGGAGGGAGGACTGAGGAGAAGGATGAGGAGGACTGAGGAGGACTGAGGACTGAGGAGGAGGAGGAGGAGGATGAAGAGGAGGAGGAGGACCCAGGAGGAGGACTCAGGAGGAGGAGGAGGAGGACTGGGGAGGGGGAGGACTGTTGAGGACTAATGAGGAGGACTGAGGACAAGGAGGAGGAGTAGGAAGAGGACTGAGGAAAATCAGGAAGACCCAGGAGGAGGAGGAGGAAGAGTAGGAGGAGGAAGCATCTAAATGTTATTTCCATTTTTGTCCGTTTTTGTCCATTTTTGTCCGTTTTTGTCCGCTCTATTTTTTGTCCGTTTTGAAAATATAGGGTACCGAACGGTGGAGGAGGACTGAGGAGGGGAGGAGGAAGAGGACTGGGGAGGATCAGGAAGACCCAGGAGGAGGACCCAGGAGGAGGAGGAGGACTGAGGAGGACTGAGGAGGAGGACTGACGATGACTGAGAAGGAGGAGGACTGAGGAGTACTGAGGAGAATGGCTGAAGAGGATGGCTGAGGAGAATGGCTGAGGAGGATGACTGAGAGGGAGGAGGAGGAGGACGCAGGAGGAGGACTCAGGAGGAAGAGGAGGAGGAGGACTCAGGAGGAGGACTTAGGAGAAATGAGAAGGAGGACTGAGGAGAACTGAGGAGGAGGAGGATCAGGAGGAGGACTGAATAGGAGGAGGAGGATCAGGAGGAGGACTGAATAGGAGGAGGAGAAGGAGGGGGACTGGGAGAGGACTGAGGAGGAGGAGGACTGATGAGAAGGATGAGAAGGAGGACTGAGGAGGAGGACTGAGGACCGAGGAGGAAGAGGAGGAGGATGAAGAGGAGGAGGAGGACCCAAGAGGAGGAGGACTGAGGAGGAGGGCTGAGGAGGACTGAGGAGGATGGCTGCGGAAGATGACTGAGAGAGAAGAGGAGGAGGAGGACTGAGGAGGAGGAGGAGGAGGAGGACTGAATAGGAGGAGGAGGAGGAGGACTGGGGGAGGACTGAGGAGGAGGATGGAGGACTGAGGAGAAGGATGAGGAGGAGGACTGAGGAGGACTGAGGAGTACGAGGAGGAGAATGAAGAGGAGGAGGAGGACTGGGGAGGAGGACTGAGGAGGAGGAGGACTGGGGAGGACTGTTGAGGACTGATGAGGAGGACTGAGGACGAGGAGGAGGAGTAGGAGGAGGACTGAGGAGGGGAGGAGGAAGAGGACTGAGGAAGATCAGGAAGACCCAGGAGGAGGAGGAAGAGTAGGAGGAGGAAGCATCTAAATGTTATTTACATTTTAGTCCGTTTTTGTCCATTTTTGTCCGTTTTTGTCCGCTCTATTTTTTGTCCGTTTTGAAAATATAGGGTACCGAACGGACAAAAAACATGACCCCCCTATAACAGCAAAAATTGAACATTTTATTTAGCAATTTAGGTGTCCATTAATGTCCGCTAATGTCCGTCTATGTCCGCCAATGTCCGCCTATGTCCGTCTATGTCCGCCTATGTCCGCCTATGTCCGCCTATGTCCTGTCCTTTTTGGATTCTATGAGACAAGCGGACATAGACGGACGTGACACCCCCCCCCCCCCCCTTTATATTGAATATTATTCTATTAAATTTAAGATCAACAATTATGTGTTTGTTATATCATTTAGAAGGGAATAGAATTTTTGTCAAGGATTCAAATAAAAGCCCGAATTGAATTAGCTAATTAGTTAATTTGCTAATTAGTTAATTAGTTAATTTGCTAATTAGTTAATTTGCTTCATATCGTTTACCACACATTAACTTGATCAGGAATTACTAAAACATCATAAGCACAGCAATACGGAAAAAAACGAAATAAGAAGTACCAAAAATAACTGGGATTTGGTTCCTTTAACTGTACACATTACTGCGGGAAAAAAACATATCAATTAAATTTAACTTAATAACATCCGGTCAACATCTGATCATCTACTTTATCTTGAACAATTAATAGGAATCAGTGAGATCAAAAACTGGAGATATAAATAAGTTAATTTTCATGTGAAGTAAAGTAACCCAATTAATATTAATAATAATATAGCATTAACAAAATAGTCACGATTGGCCAAAGCATTTATGCGCCATGTTCACTGTTCAAGAACAACAGATATTTTAATAAGATCGTATTAGAAAAATACAAATCCAAGATAAAAAGGCACAAAACAAGTTCATGAAACTGATATTAAAGTTCGGTAAAAACACAACTAGTGTAATATACAATATACGTATATATATATTTTTTCAAATAAACATATTTGTATATTATATATATTATATACAAATATGTATATTTGAAAAAAAAAGAGAACAACAATAATTGGTGAGTGGTGTCGGTGAACATGATACAGTAAAACGTTTTTAACATTCTATAACTCTCTCTAAAATCTAAAATAAAAACTCTACCAGATGTAGCTCTAACTAAACGCTAACAATAAGCTACCCCCTGTTCATACTTTTCCATAAACTCCTCCATTTGGTCAAGCTTAACGTAATGCATCAGCAGGGCCTGCTTATTACTACACCCATATTTCTGATGCCAATAAAATCCCCTGATGGTAGACACTTCTATTTTCCCTGAATGATAGGCCAGGGTCCCCATGAACGCGTCCTCGACATAAAACAAAGGCTGAACCCCCGTGTCCCACACTGACTTAAGTTCCTGGACAGTATCAAATGATAGCACATACCCGCTGCCACTGCAGTACGGAGGGTATGTATCTGGATCCCACAGTTCCTTACCAACACCGTATCTGCCACGCCGCAGAACGGGCTGCCGGTTCGTTCTTGCGCCTCCAAAGAACATTTTACCGCCCGAATTACTGTTCAGCTGCTCGTGGAGGTACCTGTTCAGCAGCTTAATATTAATGAAACTATCATCATCCGTCTTGACTAAGAAGGAAAAGTTATAAGTATCCACAGAGTACTGCAACAACCACAGAACCTTCAACACAAGGTTATGATAACTATCCAGCTCATCCGCCATGATCATGTCCTGATACATCTCAATCTCCGCCTCTAGCTTACCCATTGTCTCTGCACTCTCCGTCTTACCCACTACAAACACATACTTCCACCTGTCTATCTCAGTCCCATCATCTTCAAGCCACCGGTACCCCGCCCAGCTCTTCTTCCTGATTACTTCACGGTGCGGGGTGTGATCTGGCGCTGTTATCACGAACACTATGAAGGTATAGTAGGGTTTCTGCTCGGTGGATTCCACCTCAACTAACTGGCCTTGTTCCTCCACTGCGATGGTGTCATTGCCTGCTAGGTTGAAGCCCGTGTGTTCGAACTCTTTCTCTTCGCTGTGGTAACTGAGGTTGAGGATGACGTAGGCTACACCCGTTAAGCTGAGGACTATGTACCAGAAGAGGAGGTTGGAGACGCCACGTGTGTGATTATCACTCATTACGTCATGTCATTGTGGTGGTTGTTACTGTTGTTTCATTACCTGGATGGTGAGGTCGTGATTATAGGGTTTTGAGATGTAAGGAACTGGGATTAGGTGTCACACAAATTTGTATTAATAAAGTATGTTTGATCGTTTTAGTTTTTACTTGATTATCCGTATTGAATACTGAGCTGGAAGCATGGCAAGAAAGACATTAACAGTTGAACGAATAAGAGAATAAATTAATACAAGCCATCGGATAAAATTACGACAAACTTAGAAACTCAGGTCTTGGTAAAACGCGTTTCAGCTGGAATCGGAAATGAAAAAAGTTTAAAAGTTTAAAAACTGCGTACGGCTTGAATATTAAAATTCTTGAAGGCCCTTTTCAACATAACAATATAACAGTTAACACATTTCTTCCTCGTCATCAAGCTCACTTTCATCTCCATCTTCTTCCTCATCTTCCTCTTCTATACCCTCATCAATATCCATATCATTAAACTTCTTCTTCTTCTCTGTCTTCGTTATCTCTATGTTTAGCTGTGTGGAAAGCTTGTTAACGGGCTGTAACCACGACCTTCACTAGTATCATATTATAATATACATAATAATATCAAAAACAATCGGAATCAGCACTCAGCAAGTTGAACGATATACCAATCACGGATATTTATAATCTTATACTGTATTAGATATTTAGCATTATTAAAGAAAACCAAAGTCACCTCAGAAGAGTTAAGTCTGAGTGCGTCACCGTCGAACATCAATCTGTGAACATCCTGAATCTGTTCCTCGGGAATTACTCCGCCAGCAATCCCATTTTCACACACAACGCAGAACTTTATTTTCTTATCTCGGAACCTTTTAAGAACCAGTCGTCCCACTGCTTCGTGGTCAGTCTCTTTTTTGCAGTACAGATTGAACCTGAGAGAGTATAGTTTTAGATATAATGCCCTATAATCGTGGAATGTTTTTTTGATAAAACTTCCTGTAATGTTTAGGGCATCGTAAAATGTACTACGTTAGTGACTGACATATTATAATTCAAAATTCATATTGTTGTAACTTTGCGGATGATCATTGCCATCTTTAACTTTGCTATCAAATTTTTATGATTTAAGTGATAAACAGGAAATTTCAATGATCCCCAAACTACATTTTCCCCAAACCACCAATCAGTCTAATGAGTACAAACCTCACTGCAAGAGCATCTGTCAAACCCTCGGGATGGCTGTAATCAGGTAGAGTGAAATGGAACATGGCATCTTGTTTACTGATACACTGTGCTAGAGCCATCATTACTTCAGTGGGGTAGTTCATAAAGTTGTGTATATTGTGTAGCACGTTTAGCAGCCCTTTGTACTCCATCTCTATTAAACCTGAGATAAGGGGAGAGTAGGAATCTATGAAATAGGAGTGAAGTGAAATCCATGATAAGAAAATAAACAGTTTCTTATATATGGGCAATTCCACGGTAAGGTTCCACTTGGTGAAAATGAAAAATGTTAAGATAGGCACCTAATTTTGGTTAAAATATGTTCATTAGACTCTTAACCTTACAAGTCAACAAAAGTTTTTTGTTTCATATTGCGTTAACTTTTGATTTTTCTCATTCAAAGGAACACTACTCGGAAATGAAAAAAATCGTTCAAATTTTCAAAGGGCCATAGTTTGGGTATGCAGCAATATTTCTCTATGAAATTCCATATACTTAGGCATATGCATAAGAATGAGAGCTATGCAAAGTTTCAAAACCGTTACTCAAATACTTTTTCTAAAAAATTTCCACAAAGATGGTGTCACGTCCGTCACAAAATTAAGCAAAAAAGTTTTTTCTGAGCCACATAGTGCTATTTATATTCAAAAAACCACTGTAACCTATCTCTTCTGAAGGTAAGGGAGTACCGTAGAAATTATCAGGCTTGTATCTTTTAAGAAAAAAATTTTGTAAGGGGGGTCCCAACTTGTCGCGTCCGTCACATTTTTTTGAAAATGCTCCAAAAAATCTTTAAACAGACTTTAAAGGCATTTTTTCTTAAAGCTGAGGCCGTCCTCAACAAAACTATGTCGTCAAATCAAAAATTGGACAGAAAATGACCGAGTTATGTATAATTTTGTATATGCCCATATATGGGCATACGGCTCACTTTTAGCCATTTTTATCCATATTTCCATTATTTTGACTAAAATCAAGACAAATAGAAGTCAAATAAGATTGGATTGTGTTGATTATGTTGACTAGACTATCAAAGAACATCATATGCAATTCAATAATTTAATTTACTGATTTTTTGCCATTTTATTTGCTTACAACTTTTTCAGAGGTAAAAGGCACAAAAAATGGACTTAACCCTATTTTCGCATATTTTTGAAGTAAAAATTCAATATCTTCCACATTTTAAACACTAAAGTAATGAAACTTTTAGGATATGGTCTCAACAGTATGATGCGTTGAACAGTGATGAATGTTTTACCAGAGTTATAAATTTGTTCAAGTAAAGAAATAATTGATGCCCCTAGACTGATACCCTAGCGTATGCCCAAAATGGACGATTTTGGCTGTTGCAGACCTCTTGGGGGTATTTGAGGCCTAAAAATTGGCATGAATACAGAGTAGATGTCACTGAACAAGATAAAAGTGTCGAGTGGAAGGTTTGGAAAAATTGAAAAAAAACGTGTGTCCGTCACAGTCACGTCTGTCACAATTTGAAAATGGCGCCACGCAAACAAAAATTGAGCAATCTCTAAGAAAATGGCATCTCAGACATCCCTAAACCTTCTTCTATCATTGTAATTCCAAATTAGATACAATAGATAACTTTTTGAGATAAATTTGGGTACCATCTGAGTAGACACCCAAAAAAAGTGTCATATTTACGTCACGTCCGTCACAGGGGTGCTATCTCAGAAAGTAATAATAGTATGGGTCTGAAATTTTCACACAACCTGTAGAAAGGTTAAATGTGGACTAATAAACAGTTGGAGCTGATAAATAAACAACATCTCGAGTACAACATTCGTTTGAACTTTAAAAAACAGCAAAATCGTGGTGTCCGTCACGGTGGAATTGCCCATATACATTATACAGCATGTACGTAAATTTGTAAATGCTGAAATTCTTCATTTAGTAGGATCTTTTATCATTTTAGGAAAACAGAAATAAGTATAATAGGGGGGGGGGGGTAATGACTACCAATGGAGACTTTTGGGGACTAATGGGGACTAAAAATCGTGGGGACTAGAGGTCAACTCGTTGACGTAATTCACCATTTGTCCCCATAAGTCCCCAGAATTTTTGACAGTTATTTATGGTTTTCAAGTTAGTTTAAGAACGATACGATCGAGATGTTTTGTCCAAGATAAGAGTAGGATAAATCTAAATGGGGACTAATGGAGACTTTTGGGGACTAATGGGGACTAAAAATCATCTAAATGGGAACTAATGGAGACTTTTGGGGACTAATGGGGACTAAAAATCGTGGGGACTAGAGGTCAACTCGTTGACGTAATTCACCATTTGTCCCCATAAGTCCCCAGAATTTTTGACAGTTATTTATGGTTTTCAAGTTAGTTTAAGAACGATACGATCGAGATGTTTTGTCCAAGATAAGAGTAGGATAAATCTAAATGGGGACTAATGGAGACTTTTGGGGACTAATGGGGACTAAAAATCATCTAAATGGGAACTAATGGAGACGTTTAGACAATATTGAATGTATTAGCTTTTGTTTGGCGGCTTTTAAAAGTCGGTTACCTGGCATAGTGACCAGTTTGAGATTGTCACTGAGCTTTGTCATGGTGCTTCTCTTAGCTTTTGTTCTACCGCATTGCTTCAGAATTGTGCTGACAACGGAAGATTTGCCAACTTGAGGACCCCCAATAATACCAATCTTCTGTTCTGAAATATAACGATTATTATAAAATAGGTCACATTTTGAGCATGTCATACTTAGAAAAACATGATCAAATGTTTACAGATTCTCATGGTACCTTACATCATAGCATCTAAAAAATATACTTTTTTTCAAAATTCCACAAACCTTCTGTAGAAGGAATCTGTTTGAGGTGTGACAGGAATGGTTTTGCCCCACCAAACCTGGCGAGAGTTGCTTTATAAGCTGATATTATCTGCTCACACTCTGTAAGCATGATTTCTGTGCTTTTTAACACAAATGTAGGAGCTTTCTTGCTGTAAACTGAGTACCTGTAAAATTAAAATATTAGCTTGTATTTTACCTGATATCTAGAGAACCTGAAATAATTCATAGAACATGGTTCAAACATAATAGTATACAGTAGTATTTGTAACTTTGGATCAGTAACCCAGAGGAGGATTTCTGTTGTGAGTAAATTAAAAATTAATCAGAGTAGATTCTCAAGATTAGAAAATCATAAGAATTAAGTAATTCATAACAAACCATTGATGAGCAACAGACTTTGGCACAAGATCAACTTTATTTAAAACAAAAACAACTGATTTGTCAGCACTTGAGAGTTCTGAAAAGGTTTTGTCACAGAAGCATTCCATAGGGCTGCGAATATCAATCACCCAAACAATGATGTCGCACTGAGAGATTGTCACATGAGCAGAGACTGATTTTGCTGCTGCAACTGGAGTAGTCTGAGCTTTAGGCTTTTGCACAACAATTAGGGGTTTTTTCTTTCTCTGCTTTTTCAGCTCATTTTTAGCTTCAGTCTGATTCAAAGCTTCAAGAAGCAGTTCTTCCTTAAATGGGGCAAGATTAGGAATGCTTCCGTCAATGGTCTTCTTCTTTTTGTTGGTGTTCTTCATAGTTTTAGCAAGCTTCTTGTTGTGTTCACGGACCTTCTTTCTGATCTTGTACTTCTTGTGACACGTCATACGCTTGCTCTCCTTCTGATTGAATGCCTTCACCATTTTTGCTCCTGTACTAAGAATATACTGATATTAGCTTTAAATTCATCTTTAGAAAAGTAGAAACAAATACAAAAAATGTTCAGTACACCCTACTTAAGACTTCTTTGGCCAGCACCAGGACCATGATGAAATAGTAATACACAAATGTAGCTTTCTATGATAATTCAGTATGAAATCAATAGAATATTACAAAGCCCCTTTCAATTGATGACTCTCAGTAGTTAGTCAACTATTATTAGAATTGATCATGATTTCCGCTTGGTACTCATTAGGTCTCTAAGAAAGCCAACAGTGTGCTGATATGCATTGTCACATGTACTTACTAGAAGCAGCACACGGCCCATTTCGGACTTGCACGAGTTATACTTATTATTAGAATTGAAGTCACCAATTGAAAGAAGCTGGTTAATATTACTGAGAGTGGGAGTTAATTAAACCAAGCAACTTTGTGTTTCATAAATATCAACCTGTTCTAAAATTTCGAAGAAGGCTTGAACCCTGAATTAGAGTCAAAATGTGAGAACAAAAATTAAATCAAGCTGTCAAAGAGATCCTGATTTCCAAGCTTCAAGTTGTTTTCCGTCAGCGAATAAATACAGGAATAAGTGCAAACAATGAAGTTTTGCAGATCGGGAACAGTGATACTGATGATTTAGCAAAATAATAATAACAATAATTCTATGTAGTTACATAATTGAAACAATTATGGCCCCTCATTGTGGGCAGCAGAGGCGGCTATTGAGGGCGTCCAGGCGTCCGTGGACGCCCTAAAATTATTATCTGGTGCTTGAAAATAGAAAAAGTGATTAGTGATAGCATTCAGAAATATCTAATCGCAATATAAAGCTCTTTGTTCACTCAAACGTTCGAATGTAAGCGCATGCATGATCTTACGTACTCAGCACATCAAGCGCATCCCACTTCAGGTAATCTATATGATTTGGTTGTCCAGGACACCATGCAATTTGAACTATTAACTGCTATGATACGGCGCGGCTGAGATTGTACACGTGTGGTGTCCTGTTTCACCCATGTTATAAGCTACTGCCTAATGCCTCACACCTCATGCAGATGTGACCAGATGTAAAGAAGAAACTGGAGCACAAGAAAAGCAATCCCGTGCTCTTATGGTGAAAGGAGTAAGGACTACAATTTATATTTTGCCCTTAATGTTTGCTGGATCGATCCCAAAGATCCAAGAAACGCAGAATTACGGGATACCGGGTAGCTTGTAATTGATTATTCATTATCATATTGACGGATGTTACTCGTCTAAATTTCTTCGAAGTAGCGCGCGCCGCTTTCTTCTCGAAATGTTATGGCCCGATGGCAAGTGCTACGAAGTAGCGCGCGCCGGGCCAGATCATTAACAATGGTCAAATTATCATATACATATACAATTTTCAGAACATGTATCAGAATATTTTAATACTTTAGTATCAAGTATGGTTTCGTTCGTACTCAAACATCAAATGATGAATTGGTTGTCACCTTAAATGGAGGATCCACTAATCCCAACTACAAAGCAACTAAACTGGAAAACCAAAAAAATTATGTAACTCCTAACATTGAAACAAACACATTGATGTGAATTGCTTTGCATTTTTAAGTACTCTAACAAAAGTTTTAATCAGCTTAATGATTTACAAATTTTGGAAATGATATTGCATTGTTTGATTTACAATTTACAATAACTCAAACACAGACATAGATCATGATGAATGAATTTTTAATTTATTTTTTAATTTGACTATTCGAATAATGTAAATTTGTGCACTAATTCAAATAATAAACCATAAAGTTGAATTTTAACCGACAAATGTTATTTGTTTAAATTTCTAGTCTTCGAAGTAGCTCGCGCCAATTTCTTCTCGAAATATATAGCCCGAGGCGAGTGCTCCGAAGTAGCGAGCGCTGGGTCAGTCCATATTTAACAACTGACAAGATTATTTTTAATTTAGTTTATTTACTCAATACTAAGCGCCTTGTCATACGTTGTATGACCCGCCGCGCACGGGTGCGCGGCTCCCCCTGTATCGTTGAAACTCTACTATAGTGAAGCGACAGTGGGCGTCACCACGTGATACAATTTGCTCTAACCAGAGCCCTCTCGCTTGCAGTAGCGCGCGACCGCCGGAGTTGTGAAACAAGCGCGTCACGCAGTACGCGTATACACATGGCTATGTGAATGATACAATAAGCACCTTACTGGGCCGCGCTCAGCCTGTCATTCCGCCAAATCTTTATGAACATAATAGCCTGGGGTCCTCAGGTAATAAGCACCATGAGTTGGCACAACATTGTTTTTCCGATTTTGATAAATTTGGTACCAAAAATTGTTTAAAAATGCGAATAAAACAATTCCACCGTGCAGCAATTGTTGTTTAAAAATACTACGGTGCGTTTGGTCTGTGGTCGCCGCGCGTACTTTTTTGTGCAATTTTGCAGTTTTTATAATATTTGGCATACAGTTTCAATTATTTTGAATTAACAGTTATGACGTTGCAATCAGCGAGACTTTATTTTTTGTATTAATGTTTAAAGATTTAAAAGATTTTTAAAAATTCCGAACCTCAATTGTGTAAATTTTTAAATTTTGTTTGAATTTAGCTTTCATTTTAGACTTCACGTCTCCCGAAATAAAATTGCGAACAAAGTGAAACAAGGAACTAAGTAAACTGTAAAACCAAATTTTCGTCACGCATTGGACTTTATTTTGACGGATGTTACTCGTCTAAATTTCTTCGAAGTAGCGCGCGCCGCTTTCTTCTCGAAATGGCCCGATGGCAAGTGCTACGAAGTAGCGCGCGCCGGGCTAGACCATTAACAATGGTCAAACTTTATCAAGGTTACACTGAAAAGGGGAGGTTTGATCTCTGAATAGTAGAGGCTCTTACGGGCAAATAAGGCACTTGTCTGCTAGAGCCCCTAGGCTCCTGAGATTATTGTATTATGGACTAGTAAGTAGTGCCGCATCGATAACCGATCTCAGATGCCAATTTGGAGGCTGTATGGCCATGTGCTGACGGTTATTCGCTTTTTCCCGCGCACCTCGCTAAATCCAAGAGTGTATACTCGAATTTGATTTTGAAATATTCACACAACTCCTCGATGCTTACTTGACGATATTACGTAGCCAGATTTACATCTTTTGCCTAGTTCTTGGTGTTATAAGCATTCAAAGTTGCAGATTGTCACGTGACACATTATGTCACAGTAAATGCGCGCAATAAAAACTTTTACACATACTTTTGATTCGGCGCTTGCGCGTTCCGTACGATAGCTTATAATCAATCTTCAGAGAAATCTTGTCAATACCCAATAACAACACACGATGTTAAAACGAATTATTATAATCCATATGAATTTAATTCCCGGAGAAATTGCAATTTACATGAAACTCAACTAAGTTTATAGCTCATTTAAAGTAGATAAAATTAGAGATGAAATTAGATGAAATTGGCTCCAGAGATCAATGAACTTTGATCAGTATTTCTTCGATCAGAAGACTTACATAAAACGAGGAGAGGGTCTCTCTGATCACCGACTTAAATATAAACGAATCTAAATGAATAATCTCTAACCAATTAATAACATTGTTTACTCAAATGCAACTATTGATAAGAACTTCAAATTATAATGATCTAACTTCAAATATAATGATCAAGACCGTCGGAAGAGTGTGTATCTAGGGATGGTTTTCCTTAGCACCAAGTTTCCCTGGAGATCCCATTTGCAAAATATATGAAAACTTAGTCCCTTAAATTTAGTCCCTAATTTCTCCTCCAACAAGACTATTATGTTGTGGCTGCTTATCGATTTTCAAACTATCCATTATCTAGAATAGTAGACTGGGTTTTAGTGACTGCATGTTTCTTTAGTGTAAATCTAATCTAGCTTGTCAACTGTTGAGTAGTTGTCAGTTGTTGTAAAGTTCGTTATAATATATTATTTGGGCGTTTCAAATTAGATCTAAATTTTAGAATTCCCTTGAGCCAAAATGAACTTCTCGACGACCTCGATTATAAAAAATAGCTGAAGGGAGTCAGAACTGCTTTGTTTATATTCTTGTTGATAATTAATGACTATGACAAATAACAGAAGACATTAATCATCAGCCCCATTGCCCTGGCAACGACGCCTACATTTACAAGAATACAAACAGGGCAGTTCTAATTCCCTGCATTTACAGCGACTCATACAGACGTTATCCTGTCTGCGACACCCACACTTGGTCTTTGTCACCTTAGCATATGTCAATGAATCTGATGGTTCAGGAGTGATGGTCCAGATGTGTTCAACCACACCAAGGTTCATCTTCCAGCCTTGCTCAATGCAGAACATATCTGGAGGCTCAATCATTGGCTGATGAGCCTTGCCCCATATATGTGAAGCTACGTGTATGGCTTTCCTGAATTGCATTATTGCAGCTCCAGGCGATGGAGGCAGAGAGCGAAAACTGGAGACCCCTTGGGTGAGTTTCTCCCATCGACCATCAAGTAAACCTTTTTTTGGATTGTCAACTCCGTACACTGATAGGGTAAAAGAAGTGACTGCAATAACATCATCTTCACTAAACGAATCAGGTGGATTTTCAACAATTCGCTGAAAAAGTTCCATGATGTCACTCCTGTTCAAGAAACAGTTGATCCACTTAGCTTTGCCGATCCCATAGAAGCTAGGAGTGTAGTCACAGCCACTGAAAGCATGGAGCAACGGTAGGCCTGAACTATAGTCTAGCCCAAAAGACCTAGCTATTGCTACCACATCCAGGTAACCAGTGACGTCACTCTTCTTGCCGGATTGGCTGGTGTGGAGTTCGCAAAACAGTTCAAGACGACTTTGATCCTGTAAAAGTCGCTTACAATGACCAATCAAGATGATCAATACGTCACTGTCTCCAGTTCTGACAAGAATTTTTGTCTTGCCAAGTTTGATGGATGCAATAACAAACTGAACAACCCGAGTGTCAGCTTCGATGTGATTGCACTCGTCGAACGAGGCCTCTCCTCGGTTG